GCCTCTGGGAGAAGCTGGATCGAGCTGCAAGAATGTTTTAGGATCTTATCAAGAGCATGATGGCAGCGTCGTTACAATCGTGCTCATAGTTGGGCGCATCAAACATTGTTAACTCCATTCCTGTCCAGGTACCAGTTACATCTGCCCTTGGCCAGAGCTGTTGAGCTCTAATATCAATGTGAGGATCTGGTGTGACCCACTGTCCCAGAACACCTGGCTCAGAGATGCAGCCAGCTCCTGGGGGAGTTAGGCCAGCCAGCCTCAGTCTTCTGGCTCTGACCACGGTGACTCCTCCTAGGAACTCCCTTAGGTGATCAGGTGCTGTGATGCATCCGGTGTAACCACGGATGGCAAGAGGCCCACCAGTGAGAAAGAGATCGCCAAAACACTGTACAGTGTTTTCAAACACTTCATTTCCATAATTCCTTGAATGTTCATCGGAGGAACCACATAGCTGTGTGCTCTGTTGCCCTTAAGATTTCCTGGTGATGCATAAAGCATAATAAACCTTTCAAGCTACAGGCAGAGTCAGTTTTCCAACTGAATATCCACTGTCAGCATTATCTCCCATAAACAGGTTTTCTGTATCTGGTGATTTGCCACCAATTCTAAACAGTTCCATGAGATCACAGAGATGCCGTGCACGCATCTGCTCAGGTAACTGGACATCTGACCTCTTGCAAGTTCGATTCTTTTGTCAGGGTTTCTTTAGCTTTTTTGCAGAGGCTTTTGACTGTGGCTTGCATTTGTCCAGTTGCTTGATCCACTGGTCCAGGTCCTAGGAGTATACGTGGTCTGTGATGCCTCCTGCCCTGAGTGCTCCAGTCTGCACTGCCCCCTCCCCCACCCGCAAGCATGTGGGCCACGTGCACACGCACACAGCTGCCTCGGCTCAGGCGCCTGTGTGTGGTTGCTGGGTGCTGGCACTGGCAGACTGACTCGCCCTGCAGAGTTAGAGAGTGAGAGAGAGAGCAAGCACGAGCGAGCAGACACCAAAGCAGTTATGTTCAGTACTTTTTATGGGGATACTAGAGGACAGGGAAGTCATTTTATTTTATTTTTTAAAGATTTATTTATTGGGCCTCCCCGGGAGGCGCAGCGGTTGAGCGCTGGGCTGCGAGGCTGCCCACAGCCTCTGCAGTGCCAGTTTGATCCCCGGTCGCCGGCGAGAGTCCCACATGGTGCACAGACCTCTCCTTGCCACCCGCTGCTCCCCTCAGCAGTTTACCTTGGTCTTTCTGCCTTTTCTGCTCCCCGCTCTGGCTCTGGTGAATTCTCTCACCCTCCTGCGTTTCTGACTGTACCCAGTGCTTGTATTAATAAATAAATAAATCTTTAAAAAAATAAAAAAATAAAGATTTATTTATTTATGTAAGAACTGGGGTACAGACCAGATGTGCGGAAGGGTGAGAGAATTCACCAGAGACAGAGTGGGGAAGAAAATAGGCAGACTGACCGAAATACACTGCTGAGAGGAGCAGCAGACTATACAGCATTGAGATTTAAAACAAATGATTACATTCAGACAAGTTAAACTTTATTTCTATTTTTATTAAAACATATTTATTTTTAAAGATTTATTTATTTATTTATACAAGCACTGGGTACAGTCAGAAGCATGGGAGGGTGAGAGAATTCACCAGAGCCAGAGGGGGGAACAGAACAGGCAGACTGGCAAAACACACTGCTGAGGGGAGCAGCAGGCGTGGCAGGAGAGGTCTGCGCACCATGTGGGACCCTCGCCGCGGCCGGGAATCAAACCAGTACTATAGAGGCTGCGGGCAGCTTCGCAGCCCAGCACTCAACTGCTGTGCTACTGGGGAGGCCCCAAAACATTATTTAAAAATGTTCAATAGCTAAGCTTTGGAAACAACCCAAATGCCCAAAAATAGATGACTGGATCAAGAAGATGTGGTAATATACACCATGGAATATTACTCAGCATTCAAAAAAGATAAACACATGCGATTTGCAGCAACATGGATGGCGCTGGAAGGGATCATGCTCAGCGAATTAAGCCAGAAAGAAAAAGATAAATACTGGATGGTCTCAATCATAGCAGGAATCTAGAAAACTTAAATAAGGGACCAGGAAAAAGAATAACCATAAGAAAGTAAAAATCAAAATCAACGAACAACTATGAACCAGAGACTCTCTATGGGGGGTGGGGGCAGGGAGGGGAGGGATTGGGGTCAAAATAAGGGGGTCGCAGTTGTATGGGGAATATAAAAATAAAATTTATAATAAAAAAATGAAGTGTACTTTTACTACATAGCTGAATCTGCAAAGCAAAATGTTTAATTAAAATGAGATTTTGCTATATACATGGTTTTTAGCAGTAGAAGCTGGTTTGTCTTATTTGATTAAACCATGTCTTTAGTTAGGTATTTGTAGGATTCCAAGATAGTACCATTTGGAAATTTGCTAAACTTCATCAGAGTGAAGATTTCTGGGGTATAAAGGGTGATCACAGAGAGTCTACTAGAAGCCCTGGCATGTTATGCTGTGTGAAGGCTCCTTGCCACATTGGGTACTTAGGTTTAAATTAATTAAATTAAAAAAAATTCAGTTCTTCAAATATGGTAGCTACCATCCAAGTTGTCCAAAGTCCCATGTGACTGTCACTAACTGTACTGGATAAGCAGAAACAGAACATTTTGACATCCAGGAAGCTCTTTTGGGATAACCTGTGGTAAAGTCTATACATGTTGACCTATTTACTAGAATTGTAAATAGCAGTTTGGCTTTTATTTTCCTTCCCTTGTATTACAAATATTCATCAAAAACAGAATTCCTGTCAATGGTTTTGCAAACTGAATAGTTCAGAATGATTCAAAATAGTTTTCACTTTCCTACCAATTTAATTTTTAAAGTGAGTGTACGAAAGCAAAACACGTATCCACATAGGTTGCCAACACCTTGAAATTCTAGGATAACATTTCAAGAATTCATGATGGAGTGTATGGGGCAGGCAGGGTAGGGGTAGACTAGTGAATCCCTTGGATGAGGATCTAGAAAAGACGGTGTGGGGAGAGGAACTGACAGTTTCTAAAAGACATGCAGAAGAAGCAAATTAAATAGCGAAATGTGCATTTATTTGAGGCATGTCATTTTATGTTATAATTATAGCATTAGTGCAAGTCAATCCAGAAAAGGTAGGAACCATAGGAAAGAAAAAATAAGGGGGAGAGGTAGAGGGGAGCTATCCGTCATCCTGTCACTGAAAGCAGCCATTGCTAATTGTCTCGTGTCTGTGTAGCCTCCTTACTGTGCTCTACAACGAGGTCATGTTCACTCAGCAGTGAATGAGGTCAGTGAAGAATGCAGGCAAGATGTTAGTCTGTGCCGGGCGAGTGGAGTGATTAAGAATTCTGACATCAAGCCAGAGGGCCAGAGTTTTAAATCCCAGCTCTGCTGTTTAGTATTTCTGGGCTCGCAGCTAGTTGCTTAACTCTTGTGTGTCTGTCAGGTGGGATGGTGACACTGTCTACCTCTCCATCTGCTTGGAGGGTTAAGGAATTAAAATATTGAACTCATTGGAGACTATCTTACAGTATCGCTAATCACTGTTATGTAGGCTGTACAGGCAGTGGAAGTGCCTAGAAGTGTAAGCCACCTTATTTATTATAAGTGCCTAGAAGTATAAGCCACCTATTATAATAGGGAGCAGATATTTAAACAAAGTATAGTTAGATGAATCCTAGGATAGTATATATTGAAGTGACCCAATTCTTGATTAATGTAGGTAAAATGAGTTTAGAGGACAGTTGGCTTTGTCTTAAAATATACTCTAGCTTTCAAGTAAAAGCCTACTCCTTTTATAGCTTGTATCCTTTAAAATTTTTTACTACCTTAATGTGATAAATGACTGAAGTTTCCAAGAAATTAAGCAAAACTGTTGCCTTGATCATTCTGGTATTATCATAAGTGTCAAAATACTTTCCCTGATGCTTTGCATTTTATACCACATTGCCAAAAAGGTAATAGAATCCTTTCTTAGCACTAGCATCTGGCTAATCAAAATAAATCTATCTTCCAGACTTTTTACAAGGGAGTTTGGTTAGCTTTCAGTATAATTAAAGAGTATATTACTTGATGCCTATTAAAAACAGGAAATTGTAAGATGCAACTGTTTTTCATATATAGTGGGGGCAATTTCTTGAACTACAAATAAGAAGAGGCTAAAGGAAGTTTTCCAATACAAAATATCAAGGGCACCTGCATAAGAGCTGAAAGAGATCAAGCTTAAATGCCAACGGTTACGCATTTGTCAAAGTAATCTTTCATTTCTTAACTACAATTCTAGATGTTAACGGGACTTAGTTTGTTCTAAAATGATTCAAATAGATTTTTGCCTGTGTGTTTCTTGGATAATGATGCTGGGAAATGAAGAACCAAATTTTTATTTATGACTATGTTAGTGCTTTTCAATAGGGAAAATTATTCTATTAATGCTAGATAGTTATGAGAAATCCCTTTGTTTTTAGACATTTGAATTGGTGGGGGGAGACATTGATAACTTGAATAAAAGAAGTAAAAGGAGCAGTGTGCTTGATCGGTGTTCTGGGGTGCTGGCACTGTGTCTGCAGAGCCCCATTCTTCTTTGGTGCTTGTCACATACCCAACTGCAGAATGTGGCTGCCAGCTTATCACTTTGCTTTATTCATAATTTATATGGTTAGCAGAAATATAAACTACAGTTGATACTTGAAGTATAGAAGCAGTATGTTTTAGAAATTAAAGGTTCTTTAAAGCTAACATTTATGGGGTGGGAATGACAGAGGTTTCATTTTTATGGGGATTCTATTGATCTTGACTTCATATTATAAACACTGGGTCATGTAATAGATGAATGCACACGTATTTATCATCCACAGGTTTATAAAAACAATTCTTTTTGTTTAGAACATTCGTGGATCAGTTTTATTTACCATGATAAAAATATTTAAATATGGCAGGTTGTTTGCTAGCTAGTGAACTTAAATTTGCTTCTTCCCCAGATTCATGAAAAACTTCACTACTATGAGAAGCAGAATCCTGTGCCCATCCTCCACGGTGCGGTGGCCTTGGCCAATGACGTAAGTAAGCCTTTCTCAGCTCAGAGACACGTTCCCCCAGGCCTGCCCAGAGCAGGTCTCATCCTACCGCAGACAGATGCATTGAGCCTATGAATAAAAACCAGGAAAAGTTGCAAATATTTCCTAAAGTTCTGTCATCACTGAGCTTACGCACGTAGCTACCCTCTTGTTCTGCCTTGGTAAATATGTAATAGAAATTTTAGGCTGTAATTCTATGGGGATAGAGGAGCTGTCAGCTCTTAGTGTTCTGAGAAAGTCACAGACAAGAGGAATGCTTTGGAGAAATAAAGACAAATGAGATGGCTCTATTGCTGACAGTACTAAAAAATGACAGATACTAGTATAGGAATGAGGCATAGGAAATACATGAAAAGGCATGATTGTTTTTAAAATGAATTATAACGCATAGTAATGATTTATGGATATTAGACCTTTCCAAATTACCATCATAACCAAAAAATAAATTTTAGAAGCAGTTGGCATTGATGGAGTAGTTAATTTCCTGTAGCTATAATTTTATTTTATATCTGAGGGAGGGAACTAACTTGCTATTTCTTACTGTTAACTTTCTGACTCGGATGAATTGAGAGCACACCTGGATAAACTATAAAGGACACTTAATTAGACAAGAAATATGTTTGGTGTAGAGGCTGGTTTTTAGTGATATGCTATAGCTTATGTGTAGCTTTTTAATTTTTTACTTTATCATGATAAAAACAAGCTGTAATTCAATTAAGTAAAATATTGGGACCATAAGTAGAATTTAAAAACAGAATGTCTTCAGGTTTAATTTTCTTTGATGTATTTTATATTGTAATTTAGATGCAGTATATATGAAGATACCCCAGTTGTGTTCTTTTTGTTCCCCATTTTCCTTTCCATTTTTATCTAAAGATATGGCAAATTAGAAGGATGTGTAAATACACATATTTTACAAGGAATCTCTACATTATAGAACCAAAGCATTTGAGACAGTGAATAAAGATAGAGATCTAGTTCAACCAGTTAACTGCTGTGGCCACTTGAGAAAGTCATTAAAGTCAGTTTTAAAGCATTAAATGTTGAGGGCCTGGGGAAATAATTGTTTATAAACCAATGTAGTTTAGCCCAATCATATTACAATATTGGTTTTGAAAAAATTAGAGGCTAACATGTAAATATGGTAAAACACAGCATTTTAAAATTCATCAGAGCAATGTATTTAAATCTTCAAAACATTGCTATATATTAAGAGATTAAAGAATGAAAAGAGACTTTAGCATCTTTCTGTAAGTTAAAAATTCTTTCCTTGAAGAAAGTGAGAATATCACCTTTAAGTAGTAAAATCACTCTTGAAATATAATAAAAAATATTTTTTTGGTGTATAATTTATATTGTCCCCTTCTTTTAGAGACAAGTGCTATTCCAGAGATAAGAACAATTATTTTTACTTGGTAGAAACATGAAGGACAAATGGAAATTTTTTTTAAAGTTTTATTTATTTATTTATTTATTTATTTATTTATTTATTTATTTATTTATTTATTTATTTATCTATTTATACAAGCACTGGGTACAGTCAGAAGCGCGGGAGGATGAAAGAATTCACCAGAGCCAGAGCAGGGAGCAGAACAGGCAGAAACAGGCAGAAGGACCGAAGTACACTGCTGAGGGGAGCAGTAGGCCTGGCAGGAGAGGTCTGTGCGCCATGTGGGATACTCGCCCTGCGGCTGGGGATCGAACCAGTGCTGCAGAGGCTGCGGGCAGCTTTGCAGCCCAGCGCTCAACTGCTGTGCCACCGGGGAGGCCCTACAAATGGAAATTTTATGCAATGTTTTCAGGAGGTTTTTAAATGAAAAAAATATTTTTAATTCTAAAGTGCACATTTTATAATTCTAATCTTTTTTCTAATTGAACCTAGTTTTTCATCTTACGAAAATTTTATGATCCCCCTATAGAATTTTTCTCTCTGAATGAAGAACCTGAGCATGTTTGAAGTTCTAATCCTTTCTTTAGCTAGAACCCATGAATGAGAATTTTTGATCATTGTACTAGAATAGAATCTGCATTTTTGGTACTAGAGTAACCTATTATAAATCATTTTCTGATAAATCTGGTTTATATTTAACAGACTTTTTAGTCTATATAGGTAAACATAATAGATATTTCATACCATTTGCTCTGCTAGGGGCATTCTCGTTCTTCCCTACCTCAACTCTAAACAGCAGGCTACTGTGGGTTTTTGGAAACCCTGTAGATTTCACCACCTCATTCAGAAGTTCTTTTTTTCCCCTCTTTTTTCTTTTTCTTTCTTTTTTTTTTTTTACAGTGTCAAAACAAGATCCAGCCCTTTTTATACAAGTGGTCCTTTGTCTGCATGCAAAAGACCGTTTTGTAGGTGAAGTGCTGGGATTTGACCTCATTGCAATAAATCAAAAGGTGATCTGGTTGATAGGATTCCTTGAGTTGTACTCAGCCGAGAGCCTGAGCTGGGATCTGGGCTACGTGTGGCCTCAGAAGAAGAGTTGATGATTGACAGTCTATTTTTCCTCTTTCTGACATCTTAATCACTGGAAAATAGCAAGATAGATTCTCGGTTGTCACAGATGGAGCTACACGAGGCTCTTACTAAACTATATGTCAATGTGATCTCCCTTGCAGTTGGCTGAAGAGCTTCAGAATAAGCCATTAAACAGCGAGATCACAGAGCTGTTGAAACTACTGTCAAAACCCAACGTGAAGGTGAGGACATGTTACATCTATAATAATATCTTCCAAAAGGGCTGCTTTCTGAGATTCTTTTACATGAATTTTGTTTTGAGCATCAATTTTCAGATAAATGCATTGCCAGCTATTGTACTGTACTTTAATAACCTAAATATCTGCATTAAGGGAAACAATTGAGTTTTAGATGATAATGTGACTGATTACAGGGTACTTTAATTGGGAAACTGAATTTCATTTGGCAAATCTAATGTAGCTTTAAGGTCATTTTCCTTTTAAATGAAGTTAAAACTACAGAATATAATGCTGATTAGTGGTTTTGTTTGGGCTCATTTTACTTGGTAAATTAATGATATTCTGAAGTGTTTGACACAATTGTCTGTTTTTCTATAAGATCACTTCAGTATTCTTCTTCATCTGCCTCCCACTTCTTTCTCCCCATTTCTTGTCCCTTTTCCAATTCATGTGTTAGTATATCATACCATTTTACAGGGGCAGAGCAAATTTCCAGTGTAAAATACTGGTGCAATATTGGTAGACAGATTCCAGTTCTTCCCTACCCTTCACCTTCCATGTTTATCACTTATTTTCTGCAAATTGGTTAATTACCAGAAGGCATTTCACAATTTTCCTTCTGTTAATTCTAAGGTCATTAATGTGGTCAATCCTATAACCTGTATATTTTGGGCTCAGTATGGCTGCAAGTTATTTAAAATAGTTTATGGTCATAACTGCATATGAATTGCAGTTATGTAGTGAAAACAATCAGTTATCTTCTATGATTTCTGTTAATCATACATAGAATGTTGAATGAAAATTTCTGCCTAGATGCAAAAGCTGGTTTCTTCCTTCCTTGAAGGATCTCCTTTGATCTTAAACTGATACTGCAAAAATAGACAATATTTAAAATGAAGTAAAAAGATGCATGCATTATACTTCCTGATCCTTTTAGTAAATAGAAGTATATGAATATATCCCTGTAAAGGTCTAGTATATGAGAGTAATTGACTTGTGGTGGTATAGGAAGGAGGTTGGTTGAATTTTAGTTTTAAAAAAACAAGAATCAGATTAAAGAATAGTTGCTTGCTATTAAAGATAAAGTGTGGAAAGATTAAGAGTATAGAGATTTGATAAATAGCCAGAGAACATACTGAAATTTTCTTCATTTAATATTAGATTGGACATGTGAGATTATTAATCAGAGCAAGGAGAGTTTTAGAAACTGAAGAAGACTGTATCAAACAAAACCACCAGCACCAATATGATTTTAGTATTCTAGTCAAAGGTGTTTGAAATGGAATAGCTAATCATAAATAGACTATACTGGATAGAAACTGGTACTTGACTTGAGTGGGAGATGTGATTTTTGGTGGTGTGATGAAGCACCATTGGATAACATGATATACTTGAATATCTAAACTTTATTGTGGCAAATATTTCAGATAAAAATTTTATTTGTCATATTTGTATAGTGGTGTGGCCAAAAAAATGGTTGCGCAGACAACATGAAAGTTGTGTGTGCAGGAATGTGTGTTGGAAGGAGGTAGGATTCTAGAGGGCGTGATGTTGTAGTTGGCAGTGCTAAGTTCTAGTTACTTTCTTCCATCTTTTGACCTAATATTTAACATTACTTTCCTGGAAATCATTGTACTAACCACCATTATTTTGAATTTCATGTTTATGGGGAATTACTTCATGAAGTACAGTCCTAAAACAAGTTTTAGCCATTTTCAGGAAATGAGCAACCATTCCTTTTTGTGCTGGGAATAAACTAAAATAATCTGCCTATTTTTTTTTTTAAAGCAGCAGCAAGCTACTATAGACTATAACATGCATTCATAATTATTAGTTGAAGTATTAGTATATGAAATGTTATTCTGGGGTATAAATTTGCATATTGTTTTTCGTGGGTAAGGGAAGGAATTATTTACCTTTCAAAGATTGCTTTTTTGAAAAAGTATTGTTCGGGTTGCATTGATTTACAGCATTGTATGGTTCAGAGGTATAGATCACATCTCTTCAGGTTTTTGTTAACATACCACACCCACCTTCAAGGCACCCATAGTCCACCATAGTCCACTGGTTACCCGCCCCCCACAACCCGCTCTCCACCCTCCTCCTCCCCTTCTGTTAGCATCAGTCCTATAATTAGGATTCTAGGGTTATTGGCTTAGTTTTGTCTGACTGGTTGTTTTGTTTCTCTATATTCCCCATATAAGTGAAACCATGCAACATTTGTATTTCTCCTTCTGGCTTATTTTCCTTAGCATTTTCCCCTCCATTTGCAGCCATAGTGTTACAAATGGTCAAAGTTCATCCTTTCTTCTAGCTGAGCAGTGTTCTATTGTGTGTATACACCACACATTTTTAAACCAGTCATCTGTCCTTGAGTGCTTCGGTTACTTCCATAACTTGGCTATTGTAAATAGCACTACAGTGAATGTAGGAGTGCCCTTTATATTAGTATAACCCTTTATATTAGTATTTTTGCATTCTTTGGATAGATACTTAGGAATGGAATTGTTGATCATGTGGCAGATAATTTTTTTAATTGAGGTTATATTGGTTGACAATACTGTTTATGATTTAGGGGAGTAGGTTCACACCTACTATCATATGATAATCACCATACCACACCTACCATCTGTGTTTTCTTATCTCCTTACTATGTCTTTCAGCCCCCTTACTCCTTTATTGCCACCCCCACCTTCTCCTCTGATAGCTTCAATTCTACTGTCATATCTTTAGAGTTTGTTTTTGTTTAGTTTTGTCAGTTCCTCTTTTGTTTTTCTATATTCCACATACGAATTAAATCATATAGTATTTTCCTTTCTCCTTCTAACTTATTTTACTTAGCAGAATCCTGTTCAGCTCCTTCTATGTTGTCAAGAATGACAAGATTTCTTTTTTTTTTTATAGCTGTATAGTATCCCATCTTCTTAATCTGTTGTTAGGCAGATAACTTGGTTATCTATAAACTTGGTTACTATCTAATAACTTGGTTACTATAAACAGTGCTGTAATGAATATAGGAGATCAATTTTTCATTTAACAAACCGCCATACTGTTTTCCATAAGGGCTGGACCAATCTACATTTCCGTAAACAGTGTACAAGGGCTTCTTTTTCTCCACACCCTTGCCAGCACTTGTTTCTGGTTTTTTTCAGATGAAACATTCTCACGGGTGTGAGGTGGTATCTCATTGTAGTTTTGATTTGAATTTCTCCAAATATAAGTGATGATGAGCATTTTTTCAGATGCCTATTCTGTTTGTTTTCTTTAGGGAAGTGTCTGTTTAGCTTTTCTGTCCATTTTTTGATTTGGTTGTTTCCTTTTTGTTGAGTTGTATGAGTTATTTGTAGATCTTGTATATCAGGCCTTGTAAGATGTATGTTGTGTAAATATTTCTCTCATTTAGTAGGGTGACTTTATTTTACTGACAGCTTCATTCACTGTACAGAGGCATTTTAGATGTAATCCCATTTGTGTATATACACTTTTTTTTCTCATGCCATTGGAGACAAATCCTTGATCACTGAAGACAATGTTGTGAAATGTTTTGCCTATATTTTCTTCTGTGTATTTTATGGTTTCGGGTCTAATTCAAAATCAAAATCTTTTTTAATTTTTGTATATGGTATGAGATAATGGTCTACTGTTCTTTTGCATGTGGCTGTACAGATTTCTGAGCATCATTTGTTGAAGAGACTTTCCTTTCTCCATTGTATACTTTTGATTTCCTATGTCATAGGTTAGCTGTCATATAAATGTGGGTTTCATTCTGGACTCTATTCTATTTCATTGGTCTGTGTGTGTGTTTTTATTTCAGTCTCATACTGTATTGATTATTGTTGCTTTGTAGTAGAGTTTGAAGTCTGGGAGTGTGAAAACTCCATTCCTCTTCTTTCTTGTGAGTGTTGCTTTGACTATCCAGGTTCTTTTGTATTTCCATATGAATTTTACTAGGGTTCTGTTTCTTTGAAGAGTGCCATTGAAACTTTGACAGGATTACAATGAATCTGTATATTGCTTTGGGTAAGTTGGCAATTTCAACAATATTAATTGTTCTAATCTATGAGCAGCATGGAGTATCTTTCATTACTTTGTGTCTACCTCTATTTGTTCTATAGTACCTGTTGTTTTCTTTGTATAGGTCCTTTACCTGCTTTATTAAGTTTACTCTTAGGAATTTAATTTTTTATTGGATGTAATTGTAAATTGCAAATGGTATTGTTTTCTTGCATTGTTTCTCTTCTAACTTGTTTGTATATAAGTCAAGTGTTTTTTACATTTTGATTTTGTAACCTACTTTACTGATATATTGTTTCAAGTCATTTTTGAGTGTTACCTTTAGGGTTCTATATTTACTTTCATGTCATCTGCAAATCATGATAGTTTTAGTTTTTTCCCCATTTTGGATTCCTTTTATATCTTTCTCTTGCCTAATTGTTCTACTGAGGACTTCTAATACTATGTTGAATAGTAGTGGTGAAAGTAGACATCCTTATCTTGTACCAGATCTTAGACAAAAAACTTTCAGTTTCTCAAATATGATCTTAGCTATGGGTTTGTGATGTATGGCCTTTATTATTCCTTTTATCCTTGTTTTTGAGAGTTTTTATCATAAATGGGTGTTTAGTCCTGTAAAGTGTTTGCTCTCATTTATTGACATGGTCATGATTTTTATCATTCTTTTTTTGATTTGATGAATTACATTGATTCATTTTTGACTGTTCAAACATCCTCATTACCCTGGAATAAATCCCAGTTGATATGATGCATTAATCTTTTAATGTGTTCTTAAATTCAGTTTGACGTTATTTTGTGGAGAATTTTTACATCTCTGTTCATCAGAGATATTGATATATAGTTTTCACTTTTTATGATATTCCTGTCTGCTTTTGGTATCAGAGTAATGCTGGATTAATAATGTATTTGGAAGCATTCCCTCTTCCTTGGTATTTTGGAAGAATTTGAGAAAGGTTGCTATTAGTTCACCTTTGAAGGTTTGGTAGAAC